AGTGAATATGGGTCAAGGAATGGGTTAATGAGTGACAAGTAGCAGTGCCAGGTGTGAAGGTCACACTTCTGGAAGGAAGCTGTCTGAGCGGATGTATGGGGCTCATGAAGAAGCTGCACTGTGCTTTTAAAGTCCCCAGAACCTGCAGGTTCTTACTCAGCCTTGTCTGCAGTCTGGATCTTCCATTGCCTAGGCTTTACGTATTTCATGACTTCTAGAAAATGGCTGTAACCGTGCCTGACTTGAGTGCGGCTGCTGTTTGCCTCTCTTCCCAGGATGGAGATCTCTAAGGGGCCTGATGAGACACTCTTAACTCCTGAAAACTAGTGCCCCCATTTACCTGTATGCCTGGAGCCCATCCTCCCCTTGGCCGTGGTGGTGCCCATAGAGACGGTCTTCGTTTGCATTAATCATTTTCATGCGCTTTGCACTCAGCTACACTGGTATTCAGAGAAAAATGCTGCCATGACAACTGCCACAACAGATGGTATTTGATCAGTCTCTAAGCTACCAAGGAGATCTACAGCAGTTCTTTCGAGCTTTGCATATTTTACTTTATCACGAGACCCAGTCCAGCCTTAATCATGGTTGAAATGCAAAGTTTTCCATTTGCCTTCTGTCCCTCCCCCTTGTCTTTCCAGTTGTTTGGCATTTGTTTGGACTTTCCTTGCTCTCTGGCTGGCCTGGGTGGAGATATGCTCTTGGAAGTGGGAAACAAAGACCACAACAGACACAGTGCATGGAAGTTGCCTTGCATGTCTCCAGTTCCAAGGTGGTTGGGAAACGATTCACCTTTGGGGTGGAGATACCAGCTGAGACGGCAAGAGAGCCTCCATGGCGGCCTTTCTCTCCCAGATCTTCACAGATGCACATGGTGGAGGCCCTGTGTGGCCCCAAACAAAGGGAGGACTGGGAAATGCATCTTAGTCTTGTTTTTTCCCTTTACTCCACACGTGCCTTATCCAGCCCCTTTCTGCTCCCAGGGTCTCCAAGTAACATTGTGGTCCCACTTCTGGGCTTCCCCGCTCCACCCCAGCTGATGCTCCAAACTCCAGGAACTCCATCTCAGAGCTCCTGGACCCATTTCTACGGTAGCAACTATGACAGCCTTCTCACCCGGTGTGAAGTGCAGCTTTCCACCCCTGCTCAGCAACATTGGAATGTCCGGCTTTGCAAAGATTTTTTTTTTGGCTAATTTTGGAAAGTAGTTTATATTGGCTGCTATGTGTTAATGAACAACTTGGGTTGTATTTACATACTTTGCTGGTTAAGAGCCTTTCCCATCACTCTGTATCCCAACTTTAACCAGATCTGCCTCTCACACTGCAGGTCTGGATTGCACATGAGCCATGAGCCTCATTAAAGATGGGCATGCGGACACCCTTGTGCTATGAGTGCCCGGGATATGCCCCTTACCTGGTGTGGTGGCAGTTTACAGTTTCAACAGGGCAGGAGAATGAATTGTTTACCTGTATGGTACTGGAAGAAAACCTTAAGGTGAATTTTAATCACAAGAGAGGCTGGATCAAAGAAACATTCTCCCCTTCTGATCTCCTTCCAAGTGAAGCCAGGAGGTTGGAATGCACATCTGACCCTATTCTGCTTCCCAGCCCTGCTCTCTTCCTGGGGTGCAGATGAAAAGAGCGTGGGTCTCAGCAGCCTTGTCAGGAGTGATTTTTAACCTTAACAGAACATTATTAAAGAGTGGATTTGAGGCTTGAGGAATGTTTTTTGAACTCCTTCTGTGAGCAGAGAAATCATAGTGGAGGGGGAACAAATTCAAGGCGCTTGATGAGCTTATGAATCGTCTTTTAAATGATGACCCGAGTTCTTATTTTTACTTTTAACATATTCCAGGAGTGCAACTCAGCCATCCAAATATTGCTCCCTGTTTTATCTCCTCTTTAGGAGAAAGCATTCTTGATGACCTTAAGCCTTCTCTCTTCGCCTAATGAAGATCCTGGTGCTTCCTTTGTTCATATGCTCTGATTCTCCCGGAGATGGATGTGAGTTGGGGGGTGTGTTGGTTGGCCCTCTGGACCCTAAAGAGAAGGGTTATGTAAATGTGGGCTTCTGAACAGGGAGGAGGACTCTGCACCAACATGGTGAGAAGAATCGGACACAGTGCCTGGAACAGAGCAGACATCTACACAATTAATTACATTGATTGAATGACGAAAATCTTATAATGCAGGTTTCTCATCCCTAGCACTATTGACATTTTGAGTAGGATTTCCTGTTATGGGGGGACAGTCCTGTGCATTGTAGGATGTTTAGTAACCTCCTTGGCCTAACCCGCTAGACACCAGTGGCACCCCCACATCGTGATAACAGAATGTAGGCAGATGCCCCCTGGGGATGGCGAAACTATGGCCCCTTCTCTCCCACTCTCCCTGCCCTGTAGAGAACTGATCTAAATTATGAAATCTTTGAAAGCATGATAGGGATTTTCAAAAGCAACAGGAGGAAAAAGTAGTCTAGGTAACCTATTTAAACTTCTTCATTCCTTTACTAGAACTTAAATTAAAAGAAAGCCCAGTAGATGGCCAAATCGAAATGAACCAAGTGTTAGCCTTGCAGGAAGAAATGACCATGTACTTTAAGTGATAAATGTGTTGAATTGCTCCGTGAATGTGCCAAGTAAATGTGCTTTATGCCCTTTGGAAGGGAATTTCTATAGAATTACAGTGTTCTAGGAGAGTGGTGCTTTTCTTGAATATGTTGGTGGGTGTCTTTTTTTTTTTTTTCTTTTTAATCAATGTCACTGTGCTGCACTGTTCTTGAAAACCTTAACCTGCCCATGCCTGCACACCTGTGCTTGCCAGGATAAATACCAAGTGTACTATTTTTTATTTTACATTAACAGATTCAGCAGCGGTCAGCTTTCTCTTTTTCGCGTTTTCTGTGGGGACCTAATTGCCAAAGCCTCACTAGTCCACCGTGTGCAAGATCTACTGAAGAAATAGGGTAGGATTATTCAAAGGAAAAAGGGGCAGAAGAATTTTATAGTTCTATCATGATTTAAATATCTGTGCCTCTTTGTGGGGGCAACGAATCCTCTGGTGTGGTTTTGGTAGATTACCTTTGTGTACACTTGAGGAATTAAGGACCGATGGTTATTTTTAGCAAAAGCAGGGTTTTGTAATGGGGAAAGAGCATTTAGAGAGAGAATTTTCATTAGTTACAAATGTAAGCAGATGCCTTCAGAACACCTTCCACGGGGCCCTCCTGGCCATTCTCTTCCTTCTTTCCCCTTCCTCTTCCCTCTAAGATAGTAGCACCTGGTTGTCACTGCCGTCGCTCTGATGTGGAAGGAAGGAAGAGTTAAAAGCAACCCCCCTTTGCACTCGCCTTGATAAGAAATGGCTTTCTGCAGTGGCGACAGGCCTTGCTCATAGCATCAGCGTTGACTTAGTTTGCAGGAAATTGCATTTTGCCCCTTTGCCTGGAGATAAAACACCTCCCAGATGAGGATCTTTGAGGGAGAGCTGGAGGCTGGGAGGGAGTTGGGAACCTGTGCTAAAAGCTGCAAGGTTGGGGGTGTGTGGGTGGCTCAGTCTGTTAACCATCCAATTCTTGATTTTGGCTCAGGCCATGATCTCCTCCTGGTTCGTGAGATTGAGCCCTGCATGGAGCTCTGTGCTGACAGTATGAAGCCGGCTTGGGATTTTCTTTCTCCTTCTCTCTCTCTGCCCCTCCCCTGCTTCACTCGCTCTCAAAATAAATAAACTTAAAAAAAAAAAAGGATAGAGCAATCTCAGGCTCCGGGTGTCCTGGAGTCTGTAAAACCAGGGCAGTTTTATTCAGGTGGCCCATAGCTTAATGGAGTGCTCGGAAGGTCTGCAGACGAGGAGCAGAGAAGGAAGATGCCAGACGTGCATTTCGGGAAGACTGCCTTGGAGCCCTACTCTACTCGTGAGATCTCTTACACTGTAGACGCTTAGCTCTGTGCCTGGTGAAATAGCCTTCGGAATACCACTTGGGGATGGGGGGAGTGGTCACAGGTACACTGTGAAAGATGGTCATTTATTTGAGATCCACTTTATGGGTTAAACACCTATTTGAGTTCATAAGAATGCTGATAGAGCCCAGGAAGTCGGGG